GTCTTAGTTACTTTTCTCTCATTGCTGAGACAAAATACCTGGCAATCAAAGTTAAAGAGGGAAAAGTTTATTTAGTTCACTGTTTGTAGAGGTTTTAGTCCATAATCGACTGGGTCCAAAGCAGGGTGGCACATGGCAGAAGTCATGTTGGCAGAAGACAGCAACGTGAGAGAAGAAGGGAGCGGCAGGGGAAGGGAGAAAAAGAGACAGAGACAGAGGGAAGAGGGGAGAGAGAGAGACCAAGGTAGGTGTAGCACTCACACCCTTAATCTTAGCATTGGACCATGAATCAGTCACAAACCCTGGATTCAGCCACCTCCAGAAAGCCCATGCCCCATAACTACATGAGGTTTTGGGAGGATATCCAGACAGAAACCATAACACCAAGTTAGTTATGACAGCATTGTCTTCCAGAAGTCCATACTTCACCATGAGAGTTCACCTGGCTGTCATACATTCCATGGGCTGTAGTAGCACATGTGATCCTTCATCTTGAAACTGTGCTACGGGCAGACTCTGGTGCCCTATCATCTACTTACCTGGCCAGTTCTCCCCAGACTCCCTACGAGACCCATCTGTCCTTCTGTCTGCAGGATGCAGTCCCCACACATCTTCTCAATCTCATCCTCATTCATGTTCTTAGAGCTAAAGGCCTGCAGGGATTTAAATACCAACCATATTTTGATAATCCTCAAACTTATATTTCTAACCCTGGCTTTTCTTCTTAACTTAGCTTAAACATCCACATGGAAATGTCGTCTTGTTACTTGGAACTAGGCATACAACAGACCTTTCAGAATGAACACAAATGGAAATGAACAACTAACTCTTACCACTCCCATCTGTTCCTCTTACACCCTAACTCTTTAAGAAAATGTCACCTTTCTCTATCAACAGCTGTGAAGGCTCAGGCTGTCCTTCACTTGCTAGTTAACCAACAATACACAGTTTTGTGGATGCTGGCAAAGTGTGAAACTCCTGGGTCAAAGATAAAGGATGTCACTACTCACAACCACCATGGTTTCTACAGTCTTGTCATTTTTTTGCACCATTTTCCCAAGACTCAGTTCCTACCGGGTAATGCAATGAAAGCCAGATGAGCACTATGAGCAACATCACGGGGCAGGAGACTGTTAATTTTCTAAGCCTTTTCTAATTTATAGTCAGCAAGAATACCCTTCATCTAAGGGAGACACCATATTTATCTTCTATATTAGTCACTTTCCCAATGATGAGACAAAACACCTGACACAACATAAGGAGGAGAGGTTTAACCGGCTCATGTTTCAGGGGATTCAGTCCATGGTAATTGGCTCCGAGGCAGAAACATCACAGTGGGAAGAAATGACGGAGGACAGCTGCTCATCCCATGTCAGACCCAAAAAAAGAAAGGAGAAGAGAGGAGCTGGGGAAGGAGAGATGACACCTGAATGCACACTTCTTCCAGCCAGGCCCTACTTCCTAATTGCACCTTTAATTATGGACTCATTAATACATTAGTTCACTAATGAGTATAACACCCCAACAATCCAATCACCTTCCAAAAGCCCCATCTCTGAACGTGAAACTTCTGGGGGACAGTCCAAATCTAAATCAAACATCTTCTCAGGCTGTTCACTACACAAACCTGTGCATAGGTGTGTGTGTGTGTGTGTGTGTGTGTGTGTGTGTGTGTGTGTGTGTGCGTGTGTGCCTGTCTGCATCTGTGTGGTACTAGGTATAGAACCTAGTACACTGTACCACTGAGCCACCCCAAACTCTTTTATTTTTTATTTTGAGACAGGGCATTGCTAAGTAGCCCAGTTTGGCCTTAAACTTATCCTCCTGCTTTGCCTCCTAAGTAGCTGGGATTAAATGTGTGTGACAGCATGCTTGGCCACAGGCACCTTTGAAAAGACTATGTGGAACAAAGGGTCATGGAATATGCAGAAATCTCAGTGCGGTAGACCCTTATCTCACAGCATGTTGTCTTCCCATCCTGCAGGCCCGAACCTCCAGAGCCCCCTACCCTGCCATGCACCAGCAAATTCCCAGCTCATCCCTCCCTGCATCCACTTCTACTCGATACCAAAGCCAGCTTTGTCCTGGATTATAGCCCAATAGGGCTCCGTGCTCATGCTCTCAAACATCTTCAGCCTGTCCTCAACACAGCCATCATGGCCACCCTGTCACAGGTGTTGTCCTAGCCTCTTTCTCCTCTGCCCAGCACCACTCATGGCCCCCATATCACTCAGGATAAAGCCTTAGTCTCCTACCAGTGCATGGGGACCCCTCTGTAGGCCCTCCCTCCTCTGGCCTCGTTGTCTTGCTGTCCCTCTCACTTACTCCATCCCAGCGATACTGGCTTCCTGGGCTCCTTCCTACCCCACAACTTTGGTTTGCTGCTCTGTCCCATAACATCGCATCCCCACACCAACCTCTCCAAGTTTTCTCACTGTCCCTCTCGTACCCATCTGGTTCCCTTTACTCATCCTGCTCTCTCCCTGCCTTCAGTACCCACCTGGACCCTCCTTCACTTCTGCCTCACCGGCAGACTCTTTTCTCATGGTCACCTGTTGGAAGAAACTCTGCTTTAATTTTGGCTTTCCCTAAAGCTGGTCTAGAAACAAGGTCTGGGCTCAGAGAGCTCATTTGAGAGGAGGCCTAGGAAACACAAGGCAGGAGGCCCAAAGAGCAAGGCAGGGGATGGATAAGCCAGTGTTGTGAATAAGTGGACTTAACTCCTCTGGGAACTCTGATAAGTGTTGTAGGACATGCAGAAGGCCCTCTGTGTCTGTAGGGTCTATAAAGCTCAACACAAACAGCAAGCATGGAAAATATTTGAAAAAAATTGCATCTGCACTAAACATATACAGACTTTTTTCTTGTCATTATTCCCTAAACAACACAGTATAACAACTATTTATATAGCACTTACATTGTGTTCAGTATTATGAGTAATCCAGAGATGATTTAAAAAGTATGTGGGAAGATGTCTGCAGGTTCTATGCAAATACTACTCCACTATACCTAAGGGACTGAATATCCATGGATTCTGGCATCCTTGGAGACCTTCAACATTAACCCAACTTACACAGGTGGAAGCTGGAATTTCATCCACTGAATTACTCCCTGATTAGTTTTATAGGGCTGCCATAAATAAAGCATAAGCCAGGTGGCTTAAACAAGGAAAGGAATTTCTCATGGTTCTGGAACCAAGATGTCCAAGGTCAGGGTGTCAGTGGGTAGTACTGATTTCTCTCAGGCCTCTATGGTTGATTGCCAACGAGGGCCACCTGCTTCCCGTGTCTGCTTGTGGTCTTTTTTTCTGTGTGCACATCTTGGTTCCTCTTGCTTTGTGCATAAGACTGCCAGTTAATGATGAGACCCCACTCTAATGACTTCATTTTACCTTAAACACTTCTTTAAAAACTGCATCTTCAAATAGGATTGCATTCACATATGAGTTACAGAGGATCTGGGGCTTGAACAGATGAATGTGAAGAGAATATATCACTCATAATCCTCTGCTTTTGTATGCTGGTTGTACTATACCTGCTCACAGAAGCCGATTTTTTGAGAGAGAACAAGCACGTGGCATCAAGTCAGAAAAATGCAGATGCCGAGAATGGGACGTGCAGTCCACCCATGGTGAACCAGAAGGGGTGCAGCAGGAGGCAGGCGGGCGTCACCATCACTGTCTCCACCTTCCCAGATCATTCTGTCCTTCGTGGTGCCTCTGCCTCACTCTCAGGCCCACACCTTGCTTTTATTTCCCTTATCTCATGTCAGCCTGACATATTCTTTTTTTAAAAATGAAATACAATTTGCATATGATAAAAATCACCCAGTTAAAGTGTTCAGTTCAGTGGGTTTTAGTATATTCACAAGGTTCTGTAACTGCTCCTCCTATCTGATTCCAGAACATTTTCATCACTCCTAATGGAAGCCCAGATCTGTTCAGTTGCTTACTATGTTCAGTCACAGTAGCACTTTATTTGTTCAGTGACCGTGTCCTCGGTCACCAACACATGGGCCTCTTGAGAGCAAAGACTTTGATTACCATGGGGTCACTGTCTCCATCCCCTACAAAGGATCCGATACAGTACAATAACTCAAGTAAGCATCTCTTCACTTAACATGTAAGCCCAGAAAGCACTTTCACGAAATTAACCCCAGATTTTGCAATGAAAGCAAAAGACCCAGAACCACCAGTCACTACTGTTGCACTACTGATGCAATAAGGTCCTCAGAGCTGGCATTCTCGGGCTCCAACCCAGAAAGGAATGAGATTCCCTTTGAGGGGCTGCCTCTATAAAGTGGAGGGTGAGATTTATAGGGTTGCAGTTGGAAAGTTTTCTTTTTGCGATGTGTTACATTGATTATGATTTCATCCTTTCCTGTGACCTGGTAAATCTTAAAGCCTTGAGCCCTGGAGGGAGTATAAGAGGTGATGATTTTGCAATGACAATATCCTCTCACATCTCCACTTGCCCTTAGGGGTGACAATGGCCTCTGAGCAAGTTAACGAACCTCTCGTCCTCAGGTCCCTTGTCTGCACAACGGAGTAGGAAAGAAGAATAATGAACAACCCTGTCTTATAAGGTGATTGTGAGACTCAAACAGGCAAGAACACATAGGTCACACTTGGTGTGTATTAAGTATATACGCCCCCACCACAAGCCACGAGCACTGGGTGAGGTGACATTTGTAATGCACAGGATATGACACAAGATAAAGTAAAAATAAATGATCTGGATGAATCAGTCTCCTCTGAACTGGACATTTTAAATAATGGCTAAATCCTTTTAGTTTGTTCAAGGAAATTAAATGTTATAGTAGTACTTCTTCTTCCCAAGAGAATACTTGGCTGATGTGACATGTTAGCTGTGTGTTCTTAGACAGGTCACTTAGCTTCCCTGGAACTCATTTTTCCAATCTGTTAAATAAGAATAGTCTACAAGAAGGATAGAAGAGACAATGCATATGAAATGCCTAAGACATGGTGAAGGTTCAATAAATGTTATTAATATAATCTTTATTCCAAGTCCACATCTTCCATCAAAATCCCGTGGCTCAGAGGTGTTAGGAAAATCAGAACCTTTCCGATTTTAGAAAGGGAGGAGAACATGCAGAGTACAGTGTGACATCTTAGTGACTCTAAGGCAGCAGCCAATAGTCCAATGCATTAACACTGCTGCTCTGGGACATGTGAGTATGCACACAAGTGCAGAAGCCCGTAGCATCACGGGAGGTCAGGCTTAGTGGGCAATGATAGGAGGTCAGGGCAGGTTTTAACAACAAACAAGTAATGAAAAACTTTGCAGTTCCCAGAATTTTTCAGACTGGCAGGGAACAGATGGTTGACTTGTACTTTCATTTTAGAAACCAAAATCTTTTATTTTCTACTCTCCTCCAAAAGGAGGCAATGGAAGCAAACATCTTATTTCCCAAAGCGTACATGTTTATAAATTTTTAAAAAATGATTATGAAATTCCAGAAGGATGGTATATGCAAAAGAAGAAGAGAGAAAAAGGTCCAAACTTGACTGGTTTTAGTAACTGTAATGGAATATTTTTTTAATTCCTTGCTCACAGATTCAAAAACAAACACTGTCACACTGACGTGTCTTCACAAATTTGGTTTGCAACAGCCCTCCTGGTTTTGGAGAGGTCTCCTCTTGAGCCTGGGCCAAAAACACATTCCCATGGCCAAGTTGGAGACTTTGAAATGTGAATGCAACTGCAAACATAGAGGGGCCTTCCAAGAACAGCCTGAAAGCCACTCTGGTGGTCCAAACACCTTCTGAGCTGCAGAATGAGCCCCTCGGGGGAGGCATCCACCCCATCGAAGCCAGTGTACGTCAGATTCAGAAAATACTTCCACTGCCAGAAGTGTGTCAGTGCTACCCACCTCACTGAATTGTTCTGAGTTCCTTGTTGAAATAATTAATGTGCATCAAAAATAGAAACAAACACAGTTCGTCCTCCTCTGGGAATTGAGCCCTTCCAGACTTTGGTTATCTCTATTTACAATAACAAGAACTACCAATTATTGTCAGCTGCTACGTGCTAGCCTCACGCTAAGTGCTTCACATGGGGAGGGTGCTGAGTTGGGAAGTCCACTGACAGACAGGTCATCTCTGCAATCCAAGGCAGATAACAGGTGTCTTAGAAGATGCTTACAGCTCCACACAGCTGAATTCTGCAATATAAATTATTAAGGAATGTGCAGAACATTACACAGTTCATGTACTTAATGATTATAGTTCACAGTCTAGGTCAGATATAATTAGATGTTACATTAAAATAGCTTCACAGAGCCATTTATTCTGATTTAATTACTTAAAATGATAGCATAATGAGCAATGCTTTCAAGGAAAAAAAGTACTCTTTTAAATGGGCTCATTTTAAGTTAATATGAAGAAAATTAATCATTTAATGAATTGTAGGAGAATAAGTTCCTGTCTTAAGTGACGTGGTTTCCATGTCACAAAGGTTATATGGCAAATGACAGGGAAACAGAAACATTGTTTCCCAGTGGGAACACAGATTCTCATTTTAACTGGTCCTTCCAAATCTTACTCTCTTTCATTTGAACCTAGGTAAAAGCAACAATGACTTTAAATGCCAGCTCTGAGCTGCTTACATTCAAACAAGGCCACCTCTGTGCATAGTAGGGAGGTGACCATTAATCATATGTCAACTTGACTGTGTTAGGAAATGCCTGGCAGAGTAGTTAAGCACACTGTGGGATATTTCCGGAGATGACTGGCATGCAGGCTAGCCAACTGATGGGAGAAGCCCCACCCCAGCTGTCGTTGGCACCATCCAATAGGCTTAGATCCTAGATGAAATACAAAGGAAAGAAGAAGAAAGTTGGCCCATGTGTTTTGGAAGCTCCATTCTACTGGAATGAGTGCATCTTTTGCTGCTGCTGCAGATATCAGACTCCAGTGTCTTCTGCCTTCCAATGTAGATTCACACCAGGGACCCTCCAAGAAGCTTCCAGGCCTTCAACCTCAGACTGGTGCTGTATCCTTGATCTCTCTTCAGATTCTACAACTTCCAGCTTCTCAGACTGATCAGCTACTGGGTTTCCAGCTCTCCAGTGCACAGGTAGCCATTGTGGATTTTGCAGACTCTTATCCTGCAGACAGCTATAGTGAATGCTTGCGCCTCTGGTGCTGTAAGCCTGCCTAATAAATCCCCTTTATAATTATACATATTTTTTCTATTGATTCTGTTCCTCTAGAAAATCTGAACCAAAAACTGCTAGTAAACAAGTTTTATATTGTCTGCTCTAGTTTGAGGGGGCAATAGAAACTAATTAGATGTAGCATTGTGGTACAGGAGCTAAACGAATGAACCCCAGATTCTTAGGGAGACAGGTCAAATCTGTGAGACCATGTGCCACTTGTTCAGCCTGCCAGGCCTCTACTTCTTTATCTTGGGAGTGGGATTAAACACTGTAGCTCCTTGATAAGTTTGAGATTCAGCATGCAAGCCACTCAGCACATGCCCAGGGTGCTGCACTGATAACTGGTCTCTCTTGTTATTATAAATAAACATAACCAATATTTTACTGGCTCCTGGTCCCAGCCCTACACACACTCCTCAAACTATATAAGGCCCTGATGCATTTTTCCAATGGAAATAATGAAAGTCATAGAGGGAATGGATAGACCAGCCCACAAGCCAAGTGCCTTCTTCTATTTTTAATAGCTATAAATGATAAGAGATTCTCAAATGAAGCTTTTAGAGTAGTATCGCTTCACTAAAACTACTCTGCAAGGCTAAAAAACATATGGCAATGTTTATCTGCTCTTTTTCTGTCCTGAGTTAGGCCTTGTAGTGAAAATATTCATGTTAGGCTCAGGGGAAATGGCGGGAAAATGTTAAATCAGGAACCTTCTCATGAATACCTTCTTCGGAGAGCTGTAATACTACTCAGGGGAGACTCTATTTATTTGGATCCTGGGACGCTTAGCAGAGGTGATGACAGAAAACACCAGCTATGGATCCAGGGGCTGTGGCGGCCAAAATAATGTGTCAAACTTGGCCTCGCATGAGCAAACAGCATCCAAGAGAGAACTGACACAATCTCCAAATGTATAAGGTTCCGGACAAGAAAACCAAAGAATCCACAGGCTTTTAAGAACATGGGCTGTTCAGGACAGTATTTGGGTTCAAAACAAGCTTTGTCCCCTTTGTCAGAAACATGGCATACCGTATGCAGAGCCACGTAAGAAAAGGTGTTGTAGGAGGAGTTAATGAATCTTAGTTCGGGTTACCCCAAAAATCTAGCCCTGAGGTAAAAAAAGGTAGGCAAAAGAAGTTTATTCAGAGAATGGTCAGTGTTATGTGTCCACTTGGCTAGGCTCAAGTTCCCAATTAGTTAATTGAATATTAATCTAAGGGTCTCTGTGAAGGTGTTTGGTAGCTGTGATTAACATCGACAATCAGTTAACCTGAAGTAAAGCACATTATTGTCCGTCATCTTGGTGGCTTCACTCAGGTGGAAGGCAGTAAATGTTAAGCTGAGCTTTCCCTCGGGAGGGAGAGATTGCACCTGCGAACTGCATGCCAGGTCCTGCTGGAGAGTGTCCAGCCCTCCCCTCCTGATGGCGGGCTCTGTGGATTCTGTACTGGCCCAGCCAACTCCACCATCACTTAAACCAATGCCTTGCAATAAATCTCTGACTAACTATAGGAAGCATTTTCATTTCTTTAACAATTTTTTCCACTATATATTTTTGAGTTATTTCCTTAATGGCTACTCTAGGGCTCACTATATATATCTTACCAAAATCAGCCTCAGGTTCCTATTAACTTAATTCCGGTGAGATATAGAAGTGTTTCTCATATATTTCTCTATTTCCTTTTTGGATTATTAATTTTATATGTTGTATGCATAAATGTTACAGACCCAATAGTGTATTGCTATTACATTTTATAATTTTATATTCTTTTTTAAAAGTAAGAAAGGAAAGGATGGCAAATACAGTATATATTTAAAGCTGTTGTTATATCACACTTCCTTTTTATTATTTCTGGTTTCCTTTGTTTGTCCCTCTGGATTCAAGTTACCATTTCCTTAGTTCAGTACAGCCTCACTGAAGTACTATTTTTGTACAGTTGTTGGCTATATATATATATACATATATATGTATGTATTTATATATGCAATTACTTTCTAACTCAGGTAAGAGAAGAAAGTAGTGGTGTGCATTTATATTGTTTTTATAATTGCATAACTCCATTTGCTGATGCTTTTGTATGTGCATTCAGGTTATTATCTGGGGGTAAATTACATGTTTTCCTCTGAAGAACTTCCTTTAGTATTTCTTATCAAGTAGGTTTGCTTGCAACAAATACTTTCAACTTCTGTTTATCTAGGAATATCTTTATTTTGTCTCTACTTTTGGAAGATAACTTTGGTGGATGAAAGATTCTTGATCGACAGATTCTTTTTAGTACTGTACTTTGAACACATTATCCCACCACCTGTGGCCTCCATCGCTTTCCATGGAAAGTCAGCCGTCAATCTTACCAGGGTGGTTCCCTTATAAGTTTTGGGTCATTTTTCTTTCGCTGCTTTCAAGATTTTCTCCTTATACAGATATGGGAGTACATGAAGCAGGAAGATCACAAACTCAAGCCTAGATGAGGTAACTTGGGAACTTAGCAAGAGCTTATCTCAATAAATAAATAAATAAAGCTGAGAATGTAGCTCAGTTCTAGTACCAAATATATAGTTTCTCCTTGGTCTAGACTTTCAGTATTTTTATTATGATGTACCTATTTGTGAATCTCTTTATATTTCTCCTGTTTATAGTTTATTGAGCTGACTGAATATGTTAAGATTTTCTTCTCTTTGATACCCCTATTATGTATATATTTGTGTGTTTAATAATGTTTCACATTTCTCTGAGGGTCTTTTTTTTTCTCATTCTTCTTTCTGTATTTTTAGGTTGAATAGTCTCTATTGATCTATCTTCCAGTTCACTCATTCTTTCTTCTCGCAATTTGATTCACTGTTGAGCAGAATGAAAAATGAATTTCTTTTGTAATACTTTTCAAATCAGTTTTTCTTTCTTTTTTCATAATTTCTATCTTTACCAATATTAGCTACTTGATGTGACATTGTCATCATAACTTTCTTTATATCTTTAATTATGATTTCCTTTAATTCTCTGAAAAACATATGTAATGTCCAATTTAACGCTTTTGTTAAAGCTAAGAATTCTGTGGTCTTTTCTCTCACTGCAATACAGAGGCCATACTTTTGGCTTCTTCACATCTCTTATAATTTTGTTGTTGTTGTTGTTTGTTGAGAAGTGAACACTGTAGGTCAGAATCACAGCAACTCTGTGCCATTCCTTGGATGTGTAATTGTTAAATGGCTGTGCGTTTATCTAGTACTTGTTTTTATTTTTATTTCCTGGGTACTGAGGATTGAACTTACGACCTGGCAGTTGACTAGCAGGCACTTGTGCCATGCATTTATTTAATGTCTGCCTGTGAAGTCCGTTTTGCTCCACGCAGTGAAACTTGTGAAGTTGTCTCCAAGAGTCACAGTCTAGGGAATGTCTGTAGTCTCATTCCTTGACAAAGGGTGAATGTACTTCCTTTGATTTTCTTCTTCCTTGACCATAACTAGCTGTGAAGCCCTGCTAATCACTCTACCTATTTTCAACAATGATGTATAAATTGCATCACAGATTGCTCCAATCAAAATACACTTCCTTTGAAGAAATAGATGCTGAGGTTAGCGTCTCAGATTTTTTCTGACCTTGGAGGTGCTTCCTAGTTATCTCCCTATTTCTCCCTGGAAAACTTGTTGATCTGTAGTTTGACCACTGTCTTCAAAAATCTTTCATCCAAACTATCCTTCACTGCAAACTTCACTGCTTTTTTGAGAATTCTTAGACCTAACCTCCTTCACACTTTGTTGCAATCTGTGTCTTTTCAGAGACATATGTAGATCTCTGTTCTACGATCTGCTCCTCCCTCAGTGGAAGTCTCTGAGACAAGACCCTGGAGCTAAGAACAGAGACAATGGCACACTTTCATCTTCATTACATTTGACGCTTGGCACTTGATGGGTGAGGGGCTGTAGTCCTAAGTTACGTTCTCTCTCTTTAGCCTAGAACCGCTCGCCAAATCAGGATGGTGGTCCCCAGGATCTTCAGTGGCACTGGACCTAAGAAAGGGGTTTGGAACCATGAGTAGGGCTGGAAGAAAGAAGAGAGGCTACACTTGTCAGCCTCATTTCCCTAAAACCTAGTCTGAGACAGATAGCTGGGACAGGTGGGAAACACTTTCTTCCTGAGGCATTTGGCCTCAGAAGGGGAGCTGGAGGAGAGCAAACCTGTATATCCTTCTGGAATAAAGATACTACTTTGCTGAGCAAAGGGAGGGAGCAGAGCTTGGTCACTTTCTTACTAAATATTAGTAGCTTTTCTTCAATAGCAATAAATGTTTCTTCATTTGCTGTGTGCCTTGGGGTCCTTTTCAGTGTACTTTTTAAAAAAATAATTCTCATGAATTTCACCAGGGACAGGTCAGTGGAGGTTATGGTTATACTAGAAATAGAACCTAGCTGAGTATTTAAATATTAATTTGATCCATAATCCCCCTGGAAGAATGGCAAGAAAAATGAATTTATTTTGAAGTTTCATCTGAAAGTATGTTGTCTATCCTGTTCCTACTCCTTCACAGGCTCTGTAACTTCAGGCAAATTATCTCACCTCCCTTGGCTTTGTATCTCATGTATATAATGGGGATAGTGGTTCCTTCATTGCAGTGTTGTTGTGAGAAACTGAGGCTGCGTACTCCAAGGGTTTGACCTTTAGTGGGTATCCAGAAAATAACATGGTCTGCATGACCACTCAGGAAATTAGAAATATCCAATAACGCATCCAAAGAACTTCTTTTTAATCACGACACTGAGCTGTGCTGGGTGTGTTCTGGTTCAGATATGACTTGGATATGTCAAAGCTTTGTGTGCTGAAATTTAATCTTCACTGGGATGCAGTAAGAGGGTAGAAACCACAGGTGGGTTTAAAAAATGGAGCACCTATGGTTTAGAAATGGAGCACTGGGAGGTGATTAGGATTAGATAAAATCACCTGGGTAGAACCCTCATGACTGAGTCCTGGTGGTTTATAAGAGGGAGAGAACAGAACATACCTAAAAGACAGGATCAAAAATACAGCAAACACTCAGATTGAAAATGCATTGCAGTAAAAGACACACCGCCATGAATCCCCTTCAGCATTCTCCCTGGTGCTTCCGGCACATTTTCCACATCATTTTTGCCACTTTCGGAAGCAGTCCTAAAAGTCCTCTTTCCATGAGTTTCTTTTTGTGACTGTCTCAGTGTGCTAAATTGATCCAAAATGTCTACAGCAACTTTTGTCACATAAAAACATTGACTGTCTTCACCTTATTCTCCAGATCTGGTACGATGTGACTTCTGGCTCTTCCCCAAAGTCAAAGTTGCCATAAAAGGTAAATGTTTTGATTCAGTTCATGACTTTAAGGCAACCATAACAACACAACTAACAGCACTCATGAAAGAGAATTTCCAGGCGGACATGATGGCACATGCTTCAAATCCTGGCACTCGGGAGGCTGAGGCAGGAGGATTGCTCTATGTTTAAGGCAGCCTGAGCTATGAAGTGAATTTAAGTCCATCCAGCCTGAACTCCATAGTGAAACCTGTCTCAGAAAGAAAGAAAGAAAAAGATTTCCAGAACTGCTTCAGAAAGTGAAAAGGTAAGAAGTGGTATTTTGATGTGGATTAATGACAATGTGTCTTTTATAGTAATAATGTTTCTAATTTAAGTCGTCACCATACATTTTGGTCACACTTTGTATACATGTTTGCTCCCTGTCTCTCTCCATAGGATCTTGCCCTGGTTTGGTCCTCTGCAACAAGGAGACACACTTGCCCTCCCAGAACTGGAAGCCAGAATAAACCTCTTTTCTTTCCATCTCTCCAGGCCTGTGGTCCTGTGTCATTAGCAATAGAAAATAGATGCATATGGGATGTATGACATTCTTCCAGTCACACACACGCACACACTCACACCCCTACAACTCTTCCAAAGGGAAAGAGAAAAACAACAGCTGATTTTCCTCCTATGTTAAAGACTCTAGTTTATCAATTTAACATACCCATGGGATGTCCTCCCACACTGGAAGGAAACTGTTGCAAAACAGAGGATGGCAGTGCCTCAGCTCCCTCGACAGCTTACCAACACAGTGAGGGCCGCACAGGAGCCAGGGCTACAAAGCAGTGCCAGCGGGAGCGGGTCTTTAGCAGCAGCTCTGACTGCAGAGCACAGAAGGACCACAGGAATTCTGCTAAAATACAGCTGCTGATCGCGTTCCTCTTTCCCTCACAGATCGCTTGTGGAGCTCGATGGTTAGCTCTGTGCTCCGGGGATCCTGAAGCAGGTGAATTGCTGCTCTGAGGACTCATCTTTCAAAGTGGATTCTTCCTGAACAGAATCACAAAAGGTCCATCCTCATATCCTGCCCAAAAGGTCATCATGGACCCTTGGAGCACATCAGCTCTGAATTCAAAGCCCCTTTCCGGAGACTCTGAGAGGGCACTGAGAGTTCTTTTCCCCGACCAGAAACCCTTCCCTTCTCCTTGTGGTGGGCCAGTCCTCAGCTTGCTGGGCTCTGCTTCCCTCTTTTGGGCTCTGTGTATGGAAAGAGCTCTCTGGGGTTGTGTCTCCCAAATCCTGGGACTTTGGAGGAGTCCCTGTGTCCACTTGGAGGTCTTGGTGGGAAACAGGCAGGAGGAAAGGAGATGCCAATGAGTCTGTCTGTTCCTAGGTACCCTGCCCATTCTGCAGAAAACATTTTCCACATGCCAGTCCCCGCAGACAGCCAAGCATAGCCCCTGCCTTCTGGGCCGCCCTGGCCACTGGATTCTGACAACCTGCTTCTGCCTGAGTCCATCCCCTTGTCCCACATGTATTCCTTGTGGAATATGTGAAGAGATTTGTACCTTTCTGTTTAGACTCTGATTGAGGTAGCAGGTATGGCGAAGGCGGTAGAGATTTTGTGTCTGGAGGGTATAATATAGGGAAGAAGAGAAGACAGCTAGTGGTCTACACCATAAAGCCTTCACTAGCCAGCCTTCCACTGTCCACCTCCAAGAAATAGGGCAGAGCCATCGCAGCAGAGGGCCAAAAACAAAGGAGAGGATCAAATTTACATCTCTGGCCCAAACCTAATTACTAATTTGATAGGATTAAAAGGTGAGGCCTAAATGGTTGCACCAAGAGGTCAGAACCCATCTGGCTAGAATTAGGACCCTTATAAAAGGGCTTGAGGGAGAGTTTCATCCCTTTTCTCCTCCAGTCATGTGAGAACACAGCACTGGTCCCCTCCAGAGGAAGCAACATTCAAGGTGCCATTTTGGAAACAAAGTCCAGGCCCTCATGAGACTCTGAACCTGCCAATACCTTGGTAGGACCTTGATAGCCTCCAGAACTCTCAAAAGTAAAATATATTATTTATAAACTCCCTGGCCTCAGATTTGTTTTGGCAGAACAAATGGACTAAAACAGAAGCAAATACATCTGAACATTATTACACTGATGGCTTTGCCCAGTGACCAAGGTTTCCTAACCTTGTCATTCTTGACATTTTTGATGTGAGAGGCTGACCTGTGCATCACAGGGTGCTGAGTGATATTCCTGGACTCATTCATTTCAATAGCATATCACTATGACACCAGAAGTGTCTTCAGACATTTCCAAACATTTCCTAGGAGACAAAACCACCCCTCTACACAAACACTCACACTACTGGTGAGATTCACAGCCCTACACTTAAGTGCAGAATTCATGGCCCTGTAGCAATTCTCCTGCTGCATTAGACCAGGTGAGGTCAACTTAGACAAGGAGCATGTAATTATTGCCATACACTCTAAGAAAGCCACTAATATGAGGCTAAGTGCTTCAGAAGTACAAAGCTCCAACAGATCCACCTGCCATGTTCTTTATCCTCTGCTTTGCTCCCCTCATTAATCAAGTGAAGTCAGATAAAAGCAATTGCTTTCAGAAGGGTAGAACAAGGAGGAAAGAAGGAAGGATGTTATGGTCTCGAGTCTGGATATCCCCCAAAGCCTTGTGTAGTCAAGGAGGCAGGCTTCTAGGCTTTGTGAATGACTCGTGCTCCAATGCTGGGATTAGGGGGGCACCCAAGTGGATGTGGCCTACACACAATGTACGGGACATAAAGAATCTTCTCTCCATGCTCCTCCACTTTTTCTCTTGTTGCTAGTACTGTTTGCTGCTGTCATGAGCTGTTGGCCTCTGCCATGTACCACTCTGCCTTGAAGCCAGCCAGCTGATTATGGACTGAAACCTCTATGAACTGTAAGCTAAATGAACCTCTCCTTCCTTCATTTTGGGTGTCAAGTATTTTGTCTCAGCAGTGAAAGAAAAGTAACCAGCACAGAGGTTCCAGCTTCATGAGTTTGCTAGCAGCACTGGCCCTTTACATAAGCGCTTCAGAGTTTGGGGATATAATCCTCTGCTTGAGGATACAAGGTCATAGACTAGAACCCATAGGTTCAAAACCTAGCTCTGGCCTTTACATCTGTATAAACTGGACAGATTATTTTACCTTTCTGATGCAACTTGCCTATTTGTCAAATGACAATAACTCCTTACATACTGATACTTTCTAGAGAATTAAACGAATGACTATAAAATGCAAAAAATGCACTCGCTAGATTAGAATTTGGCCAACAGTGGGTCATGCTCAAGTCTGTTCACCTAAGGTTGCCAGATTTAACAGGTGCAATATCTGATCTGGCCACTCTACCTACTGGTCAACCGCTCTATGAATGAAGTTTAACTGGCACCGCCATGCCTGCTCATTTCCATGGCATCTACACAAGGCAGAATGGCATAGGGGGGCCCTCAAGCCTCAGTTCTTTCCCTTCTCATTCCTCACAGGACTCCTTGGCACTGGGTGGTGGGCAATGTCTATAAGGGCAACTGTAACAGTCATGGGGTGCCATTGGAAGAGGCCCAGTGGTTATTACAAGGGTTCTGGACACAGTCAGATTTTCCCAAGTCAAACTCTGTCTCCTATGGAGCATCAGCCCAGTCATTTAACTGCATGTGCCTCAGTTTCTTCCTCTTTGAAATGCAAATACATCGGCACTGTTACTGGAATCAGAGTGTGCTCAGGGAGGCTGGTGGTCGGGTGTGACCAGGCACCCAGAGAATCTTCTCATGGAGTCCTTGCAGAAAAACATGCAACAAGCAATCATGTAGAAAATGAAGACCACAGTTCTTGGAGTCTGGGGGTGACTTGGAGATCCTGCTGTCATTCTAAAAGGACCAGAGCTGCCATCATATCATACTATTGCTTCTCTTCCTATAACAAGCAAGCTTACCCTTCCCAGCACTGCTGTGAGCACTGAGACAGGAGTGGGAATGGTCCAGCCACAGTCAGTGCTTTGTTCCCCACGCCCTTACCCTTTCTCTTTCCTGCTGCCCATCTACATCCGGGTCCTGACCCTGGCCAGCCCTGGCTGGTCATCCCACTCATGATGCAGCACAGACTCCCGGTGCCAAGCCCTGCTGTGCTCCTCTCCCCCAGGGTTTCTCATTTTCTGCCTCCCTTTATAACAGCACTGTTTCATTCAGTAACCGTGTCTCCTCCCCGCTGCCCCCTATCACATCTCAGCTCCCCAAATCTTGCAAAGCCTACAGAAATCAGAGGGGGGACAGCTACTCATTCCTGTACCTTGGCTGCCTTCCTGGGATCTGGCCGAGGATCTTGGGCATCTGAGGTCCTGGCAGAATCCCACAGAAGATTAGTGTGCTAATGGCCCCATAAAAATGACATTTATGGGGAGGGCTTTATTTCACTTTACCTCAGCTCCCCTCTTTTAATGAGGCTGGCTCCATCACTGGAAGTCTCAGGAGGTGGACAAACTGTGGTTTCAAGTTCCAGGCTCTGGTTGTGAGAGCTTAGAAAGGACTTTTGTTCCCAGTGAGGGTGATTGCAGAGCAGGGCACAAGTGCCAAGGAGGACTGTGGGTTGGGGGCTCTGTGGGGACTAAATCTTTCACCAAAGTTCCCCACGTCCTCCCCAAAGTCCAAGGTGCTTCTCAAGGGGAAAGTCTTGAAAATCCAGAAGCATTAGTGAGTCTCCCAGGCTCGGGACCAGCCCTCACCAACCACCCATCCTGTGACCAGTAGGCGTTCATTCTCAACCACAGACCAACCCGGCTCTCGCTGGCTTTGGCTTGTGGCCTCAAAGCAGCCAGTCCAACCAGGAAATGGAGCTAAGTTCTGCCAACACAAGCCTCCTGGCCATGCTGTCCACCTTCCCCTCTTCACTGCTCAACCCGCAAGCTGCTTGCTCTTCTCTCTGCCATATTTCTAGCGTAGGTCCTCAGCTCGGACACCAGCAATGTCTGGGTGCAAGTCCTACCCTTGCCACCTTCTAGTTGCCCACTGAAATTTCATCTTCCTCTCTGGGTCTCATTCTGTTCAACTTTAAAATGGGGCGAACGTGCAGACAACACTGGTGCCATGGGGTGCTAAGACTAAAAAGGAACTTCATGGTAAACAGAAACTGCTTCATTACAACAAAGTGAGATGGTTCAAAGCAACCTTGACTTTGGATGTACTCCCGGGTGCACACCAGGAGTGAAGTCTTGGTAAGTAGCAGTACATGTCCCCCTTTCCCTCCTCTTGGCCTCTTCCTTAGAACCCTAACAGCCACCAGCTGAGCACATACTCTGCACAGAGTGCTGAGAGCCCAGACCAAGCCAGACCCCATACCTGTCCCCAGGGCCTTAGCAATAGCAAGGTACAGACAGCAGTGCTCCAACCACTCACAGTAGAAGATGCTGATGAAAGGGCCAGGGAGCTGCTTCTCTGAAGCCCTGGGCCTGACTCCTCTGAGGGCCAGAACAGGACCTCCCCTCAAGGACCCTGTGTCAGAAGCCCTGAGGTCATCCCACTACGTGGCTTCCTCTATACGGGAGGAAAACCAACCCACCCCTCAGCAGAGTGTCCTGGGCAGAGGTGCTGAGGACAGAGCCCAGCTTCTCCCAGCGGTAACCCTTCTCCCTGCACCAATACCGTGCATCCTGAAATCACCTTTCCACCCACACTTGCACCCATGCCTTCACTCCAGGATTGGGGCCTGTGATCTCACCTCAAGGAGGGGCCATGTGGGGCTGATGTCAGCAGCCAACCCTTGATGTCAGCTCCTTTGGGGTTACCTCACAGGAGAGACATGACCTAAGGTCATGCCTTGCCCAAAGCAGCCCACTCTCGGGTACCAAGAGAGGCAAGGCCAGAAAGGGCAGGCCAGCCTAGCCCAGGATGGCCGTGGTGACAGGCAACACCTGCTCCCTGCTCCCAGCAGGCCCGAGGATTTGTGGGACCTGACTTTACCCTCTGCTAATTCCTGTCCTCTCTCACAGGACCAGCACCCCAGTTCCATCTCAGAGCTGGCTTCTGATGCACCCCGTCTGTAGCACCCTGAAAGCCAAGCTTGCATCTCCACTTTCACCAGGACGTGGGGGAGGAAAAGAAGGAATAGCAGCCATCAAAACCCCCAGCTGGCGAGGGCTTGGATGTCTGTCAGGAGCGGACCCCAGAGGCCCAGAAGAGGAACTGACATGGGTCCTGCACCACAGTGCCAGGCAGGAAGCAGAGGCTGTGAGAGCGAGCAGAGAGAAATGTGAAGGCCACTGCTGTGAGACAGCACACAGGTTCCACAGCTTTCTGTCCTCAGCAAAGGGAGAACTAGGAAAGAGGGAGAGCCACCAATTTGCCAGGTCTTTTAGTGCAAGGTCCCTATCCTCTGCAGACCTGTGGCTGAGGGCAGAGAGCGGGGAAGGTGTGTAGAACTCTTCCATCTGAGCCACCGGTCCAGCCTCCCTCTCTCTGTCCAGAGACTGGGGTTCTTCCAAGCCTGTGTGTGTGGTTCCGCCAAATCCCATCAGGCATGGTCTCTAGGAGCAAGTTCTATCCTGGCCTCAGCCGAAATCCCTCAAGGGGCCCCCAGCAGAGAATCAGCCTCAGCACAATTCACCCCATCAAGGTCACTGCCTGTGAAGAAAATGACAGGCTCCATGTCACAGCTGTGGGAGAGACAGTGAGATGCTGTCTGCCTGGGGAACTCCAGAATCTTCTTGTGAACAGACATGGACCCAAATAGCTACCAAGCAAAGCAATGAGTAATAAGTGAATGAAAATAGTCTTTGAAGAAGAAATGCCTGTGGGAAACATCTTTAGCTGGAGTGGTCGAGAAGCTTCCAGAAGGAGGAGGTATGGGAGCCAAGGCTTCAGAGACCAAAGCGCTAAGCAGGGCTGTCCAAGAGACACATTATTTAAACTCTAATGAGAGCCACATGTAGAACTCTATTTTTTTTTAGTAGCCACACTAAACAGAGTAAAAGGAATAGATGAAATTAGTTTTAATGGTATTACTTATTTGGGCCCTAAATGATTTGAAAGAGTTTAATGCTGCAATAGTAAAAATTAATTAATTTACTATTTTAAAATCTTGTTTTCAGATTAAGTTTAAAAATCTGGTGTATATTTTACACTCACAAGGGGTAATCAAAAAATGCATTGCCAAAAATGATAGGATACGTGTGTTTAGAGCTGGGGGAGTACTTTGAGTATTTAGAGGGGAATTAAGGGCAATGTATCTCTTACTGTAATAAGTGATTAAAATTTAAGCACCCTCTGCACTTTTTGTCAGACCTCATTGATCAAACATTTATGGCACTTTCTGCTGAATAAAAACATTACAGTGTGTCCTCATCCAACCCACTCAGCAGATCCAGCTCTGTGTGTCTTCTGGCTCCTCCCCAAAGTAAAAAATGACCATGAAAGGTAAGCATTTTAGAGCAACTCAGGCCACCAAGGTGGTCACAACAGTGCAACTAATGGCACTCAGGAAAGGGGACTTCCATAACTGCTTCAGAAAGTGGCAGAGACAATGAAACAAGTGAGGGTTTTTTCATTTTGTTTTTAGATCAGAATGTTCATTGAGAGAGAGAAAGCTTCTGTCTGAGAGAGAGACAGAAAGGGACCCAAGCAGGCTGCCAAAGGCCATGTTCTTTTTAGAGATTTTCATAGAGCAAAGCCACAAGGTGAGGAGGGTCTAAGGTGGGAAAAAATGGGAAATCGCAAGGTGGGCATGAGGTGGGACAGAGCAATCAATGGTCAACCAATAAGATTATGAGCATAGGGCCGGGGGTTTAGTCAGCAGCATAAGTACCTGCTTAGCAAAAGCCAGGTTGTGAGTTCAATCCCCGGTACCAAAAAAAAAAACAAGAAGATTATGAGTATAATTGCTCAGGTAAAATTGATTAAACCAGGATCAAATGGGGGAGCAAGGACAAGTATATTTGAAATGAGTTGGAGTCTTTCAGGGGGATTAGTGATAATTGGGTCTTCTTCTGTAATAAATTTTTTAAACTGTAGAGCCACCCTATTTTTGATCATACCATGAACAGTGCACTCCAATTTGGGCTGGCCACATTTGAAATACTTGACAGTCATGTGTCCATACTGGACATTCATACTGGACGGTAAGGTTCTAAATTCTGACTGTTCAGCATATGCCTCCTGCCTAGTAGCAGCCTCATTTGAGATGTCCTAGAAATAGACTCCAAGTCTCCCAGCCCCTGCTGAACCACACTGTACATATTAGCAGCATCCAGTCTTAGTCTGCTGGGGTTGCTGTAACAAAGTGCCTCACACTGGATAACTTATAAATAGCAGAAATAGGTTGCTCCTGATTCTGGAGAATGGGAAACTTGAGAGAGGGACCAGCTGGCTGTCTCGCACTCTGCATCCCCATGTAATGGAAGAGGCTGGGAGCTCACAAAGCCCTCTCATGAAGCCTGCCAAGAACCACATCTCCAAGGCCCCACTTCTTAATACCATTGTATTCAGTACTGAGTTTCAATATTCAAATTTAGAGGAACATCAACATTCAGACCATAGCTATCTCCACGTGGTCTCCGGTTCAGTTGTGGGCAGTGTAGCTCTAAGTCTTTCCACCGCTCCACACACTGAATCTATCACTTCATCCTGTTGAACTCACCTTTCCTGTGTACCTTGGATCTATCCCATTCACCCCACCCCCACCAACCTGTACTCTTAGACTTTATTACAAATCAAAAGGCGTCCCCAAAAGACGCTGAAGTCCTAGCCCCAGTACCTGTGTCTGTGACTCTGTTTGCATGCAGGGCTTTTGCAGATGACTGAGTTAAAATGAGGCCATTAGGGTGTGCTCTAATCCAACATGCCTAGGGTCTTATAAAAAGTGAGCATTTGGTGACAGAAACACATACAAGGAGATAACATATGAAGGCGAAGGCAGAGATTGGGGTGGTGGAACAGAAGCTAACAAACATCAAAGATGGCCAACAGACCACAAGGCACTGACTGGTAAGAGCCATGGCCCAGGTTCTCCCTCACAGTCCTCAGAAGGAGCAGCCCTGTCCATACCTTAATTATGGGCTTTAGCCTCCAGTCCTGTGAGATAATGAATTTGTCTTATGGAAGGCCTCCCATTTGGTATATTTAATTATAGCACCAAAGCAGACCAGTACCCAACCAAGTCACTTCAATAGCTGTCAACACCCCTTCCATTCATGCCAACCCCTCCCTGACATGAGCTCTACAAAGGATGGATCCAGTCATGACCAGATGAATATTCTCAAAGCTAAACCAGGAGTAGATCATCCACTCTCCACAGGACACCCATCTGCCCCTTCTATCACTCTGTACTCCTTTTCTGTCCAGCATTCTCTCTCTCTCTCTCTCTCTCTCTCTCTCTCTCTCTCTCTCTCTCTCTCTTTCTCTCTCTCTCTCTCCCTCCCTCCCTCCCTCTCCATTGCTTAACAGGCCACATTCCTTCTCTCCTCTGGACTTTGGCATATGCTGATCTTTTCCCAAGAACTCTGGCCTCTCTCCTTCCCTGCTTGGTGCCTCTACCCATGTCCAAGGTCTTGCTTCTCTAAAGAGCCTTTACTGGTCACCCACCTAAAGTAAGGCTTCTACTGTCTTCTAACACCCTGTAGGTCCTTGAGAAGGCGCTACATTCAGTATGGACCAGTGATGGCCACCACAGGTTGCCTCACCTCTGTATCAGTGTACGGAGCTGCAGTACCTAGAAACTTCCCCTTGTGACCAACCACCCAAGCAATGGATCAGTAAACTCATTCCATGATCAGGGCTTAGAGTAGCTCACATATCACCCAACTTACACAGAACCAACAACAGACTCATCATGTATAGCAGGATGCTATACATGTAATGGGAGAGAGGTAGAAAATCCCAGGTCCTCATCCACAAGTCTTGGACAAGTGTAGCTTCCCAGGAACCAACACGGATGACTCCTTTGAACTCAGTGAGATCATATGTACGGATGGCCTGCCTGCCCCAGATGCAGTGTGAATCTCATGATGGTGGCCCATTTGTACTGTTCCCCACCAAGCCCTGGGACACAGCACTGCTGACCTGGAGAACTGTGACAAATCCTGGAGGTACATACATGTGAATCAGACAAGGCTCACCAGGACTAGGGGTGCAGGGAGCTTGTTCGGTACACAAGGTCCTAGAGGCCACATGCAAAGGTAAGAACATCCCCACAGGTACTGTCTGCAAGGTTTTCAAAGCCTGGTGACTTCACATGAAGGAATTCCTCAGTCTTATCTTGGGGCCCAGTAGGACAGATGGAGAATTCCAGAGCAATGGATAGCTTCTTTCCATCTTTGGCTGCGTTCTGTTTTCACAATTGTTTCTGGCAGAATTCTAAAGAAAAATGCAAACCAGATGTAGGGAGAAATGTTTTCTTTGTCAGGAGAAAGAGAGCACATTGCTTATCCTGCCACTCCTCACACATGGGTCACGTTCTTGCTTTAACTGGGGACCCGTGCGAAGAGGCTCCTCAACTCTCGCTGGCCTCCCACGCCCAGAGTGGTACTGGCCTCAGCCCTGTGCCCCAGGGCTCTCCAAGCTGGAGAAGCAGATGGAAATGTGATTCTGCTTCCCCTTTAGAAGACAGAGCCCTGTGGCTGCATAATGAGCCTGGAGCTTAATTGAAATAAATAAGAAAGCCTGTGCAAGCAGGCTGGGCAGGCTGCAGGGAATTAGTCATCTTTCTCTGGGAGTCTCTGGAAAAGACTGTCCCTGCCCTGGTCCTGCTGCTCATTCTCTGGGTCTTTGACATCAGCTGCTGGTGACCCTGACCCAGAAAAACCATTTTAAGCCAAAACAACAAAGCAAGCCCAGTTTGGCTTTACCAAGCCTGAAACACACTCTCCCCAAGTTCTCCAATCGCCCTCACTGATTAGACTCCCCCACTAGAGCCGCATCTCCCTTCCCAGGCCCATCATGGTCCATCTGCCATGTAGGCCATCATCAGCTCATGGGGGGAAACCTCACATCAATCACAAACACATGACAAGGGTGGTAATGGGGAGGACCTGTTCCTTCTCTGTGGCCCCTGATCCAGCAGCATAGTGTCAGCAACCCCTGGATGACTGTGAGGATGACACGTTCCCAGGCTTACCTCACCTTCCCTCCCGGATCATAACCTTGGAGGGTACATACTGTCACAGTTTTAATAAGCCCTCTGGGTGCTTGTGACACCTGCTCTTCTTTAAGAACCACTTTGCTATTTATTATGCTTCCCAGGTTTCCCCACCCAGACTCGTCAGGAGCCAGGCAGGTGCTTGAAAGGAAGAAACTGTCTACCCTGAAAGGACTTGCCAACCAACTCTGGCTGATGAGAGCCAGGCAGACCATGGGCCCAACTTGGCTGGATGTTCCCATTCTTAAGAGTAGCTGCAAATATTGATTTTTTAAAAGTAGTGTCTCGTTTTTAAACCTGGCATTTTCTAGGCATGGCACAAAACTCTCTCCATCAACATCTCTGTCTTGAGTTGCTGAAAGTTATTCTCAACTCAACCTTTCCTCTTCTCCCCAAGTCCCAACTGTGGGGACATCTTGCAGTGTCACCTTTGAGTATGTCCAGTGACTGCACCCCACATCCACTCATCTGCAGCCCTGAGACATGCTACCATCCTCTCATCCTGAGCACATTCCATGGCACCATTCCCTGGCTTCCCAGAACTCAGTCTGGACCTTTGTATTTGAATCTCAACAAAGCAGGTAGAGCAGTGCTTTAAAATGCAAGTCAGAGCCTCACAGGCCTACGTCCCAGCCCTCTAAGGCAGGAAGATTCCAAGCTGAAGCACAGCCTGGGCAACTTAGCAACTGAGTGCGACCCTGCCTCAAAATTTAAAAAAAATTTAAAAGCAGATGGAAATGTAGCTCAGTGTGAAAGCCCTGGATTCAATCCCCAGAATTAGAGGGGAGAAAAGCAAGCCAAATCACATCCCACCTCTGCTCAAATGCTATGGTGGCTCATACCACTCTATGTGAAAGCCCCAAGCCCCACAAGGCTCTTCACTTCCTGGACCTCTTGTCCTTCTCCAAGCTCCACGGGTCATCCTGGGCCTGCTCTAGTGAAGTCCTTGTGCTGACTCCACCAGGCTGGCAGATTCACTCATTTTCCCACTGCTTGGAACATTCCTCCTGGGCCAGCTTCCAGCTGCCTCACACCCCTGTCAAGGGTCTGCTCCAGTGCCTGTCCCCCAGGAGCCCAGCCGGAGGCCCTGTTCAGCACCCCCTCCCAGCACTCTGCCTCCCCCAGTGTGTACTGTTTATTTTAGCACTTACATAACATACTATCCCCAAACCTATTTTCTCGTCTGCATCCATCTGCTAGAATCTGAGCTCCCCTGAGCCAGGAATGTCTGTCTCGTTGGCTGGTGGCTCCCCAGCACCCAGAGCAGTACCCGACACACAATGTATTCACTCACTGGGTGTCGGATGAATAAGTGAATGACCGCAGACCGGTTGCTGCACAGCCCCATATTAATCCTTCAGCAAGAATGTCTGAAAGCTGTTTCTCCAAGCCCAAATCTCACTTCTACTCATGGGAATTTCAGTCCTATCAACAGCTGATTCCAGGAAGACTTAAGGACAGAAAGTCATTCTGGAGCTTTTGAATCAAGAGCCACCTCTGTTTCCTGTAGATAAGCCTGATCCTGCATGCAGTGTGGCCACCTGTGGGGCCTTCTTAGAGCTCACTCATCCTGTGGAGTGGCAGTGGTTGCCCTGCAGCCAGCAAGGAGTGGCTCTCAGCCAAAGTCCCCAGCATGCCTCTTGGCAGTGCTGGTCCCATGAGGTACTCGAAGAAGACAGCTCTGAAAGCCTCATTCCTCTTTTCCTTCTTGGTACTCACCGCATGTACTGCCATTTTAAAGGCTGCGGGAAGCCTGAGTGCCAGCACATTATCTCTATCTGCCTGTGTTTCTCCAATCTGTGACCCTGAACGTTCCCCACCAATGCTTCCCCTAGTGACACTTAGGGGAACCGGTTTCACATGCTGCATCCATTTGAAGCAGGGAAATAGAGCTCTCAAGCAGTCTATCCCATCAGTCCAACTGGATGCATGTCATGGGCTTGTTGAGATAGCGACACTTCTTCAAGCCTGCATTGTGAAGCTAAGCATATGCTTTTCTCTCAACTACTCTCCCCAACCTGCAATATACCACCACCTCTGCCTTATCCGTGTCAACTGAATGCCTCTTACCATCACAAGTGATAGCAAAAGCAGCTCCTGCAGCGTTAAGCAGGCAAAAAAGGAACCTATGGGTTCACATAGCTGGAAGTCCAAAGGTTTGGTTCAGCTTCAGGCATGGCTGGATCAAGGATCAAACCATAATATCAGGACTCAGTCTCTATTCATCTTCCAGCTGAGCTTTCCTCTCCCTGGCACAGCACTACCCTCACCACTCTCAAGCTTAAATTGAGCTGTATGACTCAAAACCCTTCTGAAATGTCAATTTTAAAGGTTTAAGTTTCATTCTAATTGGGCCACTTAGGAACTATGACCATCCTTGAAGCAATCACTGTGACCATAAAGACAGGACACCTAGCAAGACAAACAAGGAATGAATGCATGAAGGGAAAATCCCCCCACCTCGCAACTTCCGGCCATGTCGCCTGATGCAGGAGGACAAATGCTGAGAAAGCAAACCTCAAACATGTGCCACATGACCGTGGCACTCACCTTCAAACAATGCACCTCCTCCACGGCAGGGTCTATGACACTCCAGCCAGAGCCAAGGGAACCACGTACGCACAGAGTTCAGAGCACAGTGGAAAGCCCTCAGTTTCCCAAGAGGAACAACAAGTAGGAAATGCAGAAGACTGAGTGTCAGACACACGCGGCTCATAGTTCTGAACGTACGACCTTGGACAAGTTACTTACTCTCTTTGAGTTTCAGTTTCCTTATCAATAAGATGTTTCCTGCTTGTGGTAGAAAATGTTGACAGTAAAGATAAGTATAGTCACTTGAGTCAGCCCTTATTCCTGCTCTGTGCCCAGATCTGTCCTACCCTCCTTGCTCCCATGCTTACATCAGCTCTGAACGTGAGTCATTCTCTCCCAAATGTCTGCTGGGACAACTGTTGTGGGGCGTCACAGGCAAATGTCTCCCTGTCTGTCTTGCTACTCCACCAGCAGGCAAGTGTTTCTTACAATCTGGCCTGCAGTCCTGGCAAGTGTAACCCTAGTCAGCGCCTGGATCCTTGGCCAGAAGGAAGACCAGAAACAGAATTTCCAGCAGCTTCCAAGATTCACGGGAACCACAAAAGTCCTGGGGATAAAACCAAAGTAAATACAAACATTCAGCATCATCCCATGCAAAACTCTACTGACTTGAGGTTCCAAAGGGAGAAAGGATGGCCAGACACCGAGCAAACAGCTCTGTTTCCCATATGAGGTGCTCGATTCAGCTGAGAGGAGAGGAGGATGCCAAATCCATTCTTCTCTACTGCTGAACAACAGTGGAGACAAAGAGAAGACAGGATAAGTGAAGGGACACTGGGACCCATATTGTCAGCCACAGGTTTTCTGTATTACAAGGGGCACTTACGGACCAGTGCTCTAGGAGATAGTGATGAACCCTGAATCAGCATCTCACACCAGTAAGGAAAAGTGACCAGATGTCTCCTCTTGGAGTGCTAGATACACTATCACTTACTCTTTGGCCCACAACTGAGTACTAAGGCCAGGACATGTGTGGGTGTTCTGGACACCAGTGGACACAGAAAGCATTGGACCTGCCATAGCTGAGCCCAATCTGAGGCGCAGACAGGTGCCCACAAACCCTTCGATAAAGGTGGAGCCTCGAGCTGTGAAAAACACTAAGAAAAAAGCCACCCTGGAGCCATAGGAGAGTCACTGGTGAGCTGTTCTCAGAGTGGGTGGGGAAGGACCCTCTGAGACGGCACCTCTGAACCCACATTGAGAATAAACAAGCTCCTGAGCGTGTGAAGGTGGGAAAGACCCCTGCTCAGCACCATGAAGAAACCACTGGGGCTGCAGCTTAGTGATGGGAGAAAAGAACAAACAGGGCTGAGAGCGAGGGGAGAAAGACTGCACTGGTGTGCTGGGTCCTGGATGAGTTTAGATCTTGGCCAGAAGGCAAAACCTCTTTTCTAAGTTGCCCCTAGAGTCCTGTCTGGAAACCTGTACATGTCTGAACTATGCCATTTGCATATGGCCTCATTTGCTTGGGCAACAGATGGTGCCCATGAGGGGACAGGGGTCCTTACAGTAAAACCCCAGCTCTCTTGGGGGCCTGTAGCCCACAAACCAGCAACCCCTGACTTGGAACAGATCAAGAGAAACCCAAGGGACCTCAGATGATCTATGCAGGGTGCAGGGTTAGAGGCAGACAAGGAGACAGAACAGGGGAACAAGCAGGCATTCACAGCAGCCACTGAGCAGCCTTCTCCTCACCAGGTCCACCTACAGGCCTCCAGGGACTGGACCCTGCACAGAGGCAACCTCAGGTTCTGCTGGGGTTTGGGACTAAGAGCATCAGCCATGGCAGGAAATGTAGACTGCATTAGTTTCCTAGGGCTGCTATAATGATTTGCTACAAACTCAGCCGCTCAAAGCAGCACACGCGCATCCCTGTTATCATCCTACAAGTCTCACATGGCTAAGATCAAGATGTCAGCATGGCTGCCACTCATTCCAGAAATTCCAAGAAAGAAGCTGTCCCCTCATCCTCTCCAAGGTCCAGAGGCCACTTGCTTTCCTCTCCTTCCCTGGTCAAGACCTGCAGGAACAGGTCAGATCCTCCTCACCTCTCCCAGAATCCTCTTCTGCATGTCTCTTCCTTGTTCAAGGATGCCTTTGGTTCCATTGGCCCCGCCTGTAGGATCTCCACATCTCAAGGTCAGCTCAGGAGCAGCCTCAGTTTCCCCTTGCCATGGGAGCTAATGCATGCACAGATTCCAGAGACCTTTGAGGGCCTGCTATTCTGCCAGCCTGGATTCAACAACCACTTCCTTGCTGACTGAAGCAGAGTTCAAAATGTCAGGAGGTCCTCACATGCCTGCGGTGCATATGCCAGTGACAGGCTCAGCCAGCCAGGGACATCTCTCAGCCACACCCAGGAGGGACAGGCAAGCACATTTAATGAGGCACAAGGACCACTCATGGAGTCCATCTTTCGTGCTTGCCTATTTCTTCCTGGAGAATCGGGTCTTCTGTCCAGAAATCTGGATTTGAGGCAGTCAATTAAAGGTGATTTGCAGCAGCTGAAAGGTTCCCTAAGGGTGAGGAAATGAGAGTCACATAAGGGGGCAAAGCTCGCACACATTGAGACTGAAGAGCAGAGTTTGCTTGTCCCTGCTGCCGGTCCCAGGATGGCGAGCCCTGGTGACCCCTGTGATTCCCTATGGCTAATCAGAACCACAGGCACCGAGATCCAGCAGGAAGGGACATACAGGTTTTACAGAAGAGGTAACTGAGGCTGAGAGGTTGGGACTTGTTCAAGGTCACAGAGGACAGGAGTGAAGAAGGCAGGAGAACACAGAGCTGGGAGGTCTATCCACATACTCTGTGTGTGTGTGTGTGTGTGTGTGCATGTGTGTGTGGGGGGTGGCACTTTGCTTTAACTGGGGGTCACCCCCTCATGGGAAGGACAGCAGGGACTAAGGCTGCTAGCCCCCTGGCCCCATGTGCTCTGAGGGAAAGATGATCTAACAACTGCCTGCTCTCAGCTTGATCTGGCTAGCACCCCGGGCAGTCAGCCAAACCTGGAATTTTCCAAGCAGCTGGTTCAGCCACGGGAGCCCTGTGCAAGCATCATTACCTGGACTGAGCCTCCAGGTCTCTGTGGGAGGATGAAGCACATGCACCGCCCCCCCGGGAGCCTGCTGACCCAGGGCACCTCCCCCCTGGGGCAGACCCAGCATGGCATGTGCTTGTTTCCCGGCAGCCAGTGCAGAGCACACTGCTGGAGTCTCAGACAGGTACCAGGAAGGAAACTTCCTGGAAGTGTCCCCTACTGGGCACAGCCCGTCCCAGAACCCCCCAAGGAGATGACATTTGGAAGTTTCCTCCACACCCCAGCTATGCTCAGCTTCTCTTTGCTGCTGAAAAACATCTGGCTGGCTTGGCACCTAAGCTGGGTAAAAATAGCATGCCATCTTGTGAGCGGGCACCACGCCACTGTGGCAGATGGAGACCAGCGCTGTCAGCCAAGAGGCTGCCAAACGGTACCAAATGCATGTGCAAAGGACAGGATTTGCAGCTGGAGGGGTCATAGGGCTGAGAGTCAGGACCCTAGGGGGAGGACCAGGAAATAGTACAAGAGAGCCAGAGAGAGGGCAGGACTCCTTTGCCCCTCACAGAGGGGCCAGACAGAGCAAGAGAGGAACACAGTTAGACCCTTGTGGCTACAGGATACAATGGTGAAGCCCTGAGCACCCTGAACAGTCACACACAAGGGAGAATCTGAACCCATGTGCCCTCTCAGAGGAGAACCAGAGGCAAATGGACGTCAAAGACGGAAGCTCTGCTGGTGTGGTGGTGCATGTCTATATCCCAGGCCACTGGGGACTGAGACAGGAGGATCACCATCTCAGTCCCATCTTAGCAACTTAGCAAGCCTTTGTGTTAAAAATAAGGGGAGGGAGAGTGCTAGGAACATAATCTAGTGCAAAGGCCCTGGTTCTGTCCCCAGTACCACAAGAATAAAAAAAGAAAAGAAAGCTCCTATAGAGCCCTGAAGCCCTGGGTGAGGCTTTCAGAAGCCCCGGATGCTGCGGAATTCCAGCAGCACAGCCCCCACGAGCCTCCTCTACTTCAAGCTTAGTCATCCGGCAGGACCCAAACCAGAGTCAGGTCTGAGCTTCCCTCCCTTGCCAGTGGCCTTGCCTAAGCACAGTACACGCTCCCTTTCTGTCCCCACTACCTGCTGGCCTATAGCCACAGCATGGAGAGCCTCAGTCTAGGGCGAGCAGAGTGCCCAGGCTCTCCTTTGAGCATGATGTGGGGCCTTATGCCAAGGGGAAAGACTCAAAGGAAGAGACACACACAGTGAGATGGGAAGCACCGGTAGGCGCAGTCATCAAACATGGGGTGTGCTGTGCTGCCTTTTCCCACAGAGACAGCCCACCAGCAGCTTGCAAGCTGTGCTGTCCTGACACTAGGCACATATGCTCAGTGGGGAGTGGCGTGGAACTGCTGTGGCGGACACCTCCTATCCGAGTCCTCACCCCTCGGCTTGCAGTTGCTGCAGGGTCCACAGGCACCCATGCCTGTTTCTTTCCACCTCACTTTCCAGCTGTGAACCCTCAGCTCTTCTGCCTGCCTCCCCAAGCCCAGAACTAGTAAGCCAATACCTCTTCAGGCACCCTAAGTTAGGAGGGGCCAGTGTACAACATTCCCTGTCCTTGCTGAACAGCACCGGAACCTCTGCATATGGCTCCTCTCAGGGTCCACAGCTGTGACCAGCTGAGCAGCACACCCCGCTTTGCTATCTTCCCTCTCTGCTGCATTCCGTGGACCCAGTCCCTAAAATAGATCTCCTGCATGCCTGCTTGTGTTACTTAGCTCTGCCTTCTTAGAGGAAGGCAAGCCAAGGCAGGTGTTTCCTGTCCCCTCCCTACCAGCTGTAGGAAGAGTGGATGACAGTGGCAGGCAGGACAGTCCTGTGGTCAGGAAAGCCAAGCACTAATGCTTTCTCCTCTCACTGCTGGAGCTAGACAGCCCAGTGGGATACCTCCCAGCTGCCATGCTTGTAGCCCTCAGCCCAGGACCTCCAAATGTCACCCACAACGCCTGGGCAAAGGAGACTCTACACACAGAGTGAGTCTCTGATCTTAGGGCTGTCAGGCATCCACACCTTCTTTCTAGAGAACTGGTCAGCCTCCTAGAAAAATCTCAGCCGCTGTGGGTTCTT